ATATTAATACTATTAGTAATAGTTATAAACTATATTAATAAACCAATTGTTATTATTAGTTATTTAATAGTTATATTAGTATAAATAGTAAACTCAATAAGTACTTAAAGGTTCAATGAGTGAGGAGGAATACACTCAGAAGATAGCTGAGCAAACAGAAGAATTAAAGCGGCGGAGTATTCGGATGTCACAGCACATCAAAAATGAAGACAAAGATGTGATGGAGAAGTTTCAAGCTGAGATGCAAAAGAACATCGAGCAAGTCGGGGAGAGTCGTACAAAGGTAGAAGAGGTTAATGAAAGTCATGGATCAATCGGGTGGTTTGACCTGATATATTTCATTGCTTTAGTCTTCCTTGTCAATTACTTGATGGGGTGGTTTATTGCTATTTTCAAAAAGTAAGTATAGTTTATTATATAGTTTCTTATACTATAATTAATAGTACATGATTTATTATTGATATAATTACTATATATTACTATTACTCGACTATAACTATTACTTACTATAAGTAATACTATAAAATTTCTACAAACAAATATTGCAACCAAGTAGTCATATGTTGATAAGTAGAAGCTAAGATATGAAATGGTCAACATAAAACGAATGGAAATGAAAAGCACTTACTTAGCAATACCACCTTTCTTTTGAGGTTTGTACTTTTTGGCTTCTGTCAATTCTCTTTCTAACCACCACAAAGCGCCAGCTGGGGAATCGCCATCAGACCCAGCCTTCTGTGCCTTTCTCACTTGAGCTTCAGCCGTCAACAAAGCTTTGTTTAATTCAGTCTTATCAGCTGAGCACAATTGGTCGAGTTCATTTTTAGCTCTCATGGCAGCAACACCACTTCCACTGGCTGCTTTTTTCTCGAGTTCTTTCTTTTTGTCTTCGATCTTCTTGATTTCAACTTGCACGTCTTCCATAGCCTTTTGAGCCTTAACAAGGGCTTCATTAGTGCCTTGTGGTCTCTTCATAAGTTCCTCAATTGTTTGTTGATATTTATGGAGCAAGAATTCAATATAAGCAATCTTCTTAAACTTCGGATCAGTGACTTTCAACTTCTGTCTCATCTCTGTGACTGACATCGACAAATTCTCCTTCTCAAAAAGTCGGTGCGCCTGGAACTCATCAAGTTTGCACCCAGCAACTCCATTCTCAACATCCAACTCCGCAACTAACCCACATGTCTTCCAGATGTATTCCGCCTCACTTCCACACTCAGCCCAAAAGGCGTTGAGGAAGAAGATGGCTTGGTCTTTATAGACTTTCGCGGTGACTTCGCTGAACTGCATTACACTTTTAAAGTTCGTTCGCCTTATCTGCCTTTTTCGTTTCCAACCGCCTTGATTAGTTCGTTATTTTTATTATTATTATTATTTCCCGATTTGTAAGGAAATTGCCTTCTGTTCTTTTTGAGGTTTCTAATTGTATATCTGTACTATTTTCTAGTTCGGAGTTTGGAGGCGGATCTATCTATTTTTTATGGTTTATTCTATTATAATTATACTATAGCAGTTTTGTGAAATGTAATCTTGTTAATTTCCGTCATTGTATAACGGGGATATTAAATAACATATTAATTATTAATAATAATTAATAAACAATATAGTATAACTATTTTTTGTAGTGTAAAATAGTATTCAAAAAAACTATTATAAATAGTATTAGAATAGCAAATTATAAAACTTTGGTCTTTATAACTATATATTATAGCAAATAAACAATAAAATATAGTATATAAACAGATAACACATCGAACATTTCCCGTCATTATGTGACGGGAAGACAACAATAACATAACGAATAACACAAAATAGTAATAGTTCAACAGTGAAATTACAAGATACCTCACAAGGACATGAAGTCAGCCTGTGCTGGGTTGAACGAAAGAGCTGGCTGCACAGACCATTTAGAGACGTCGAATTCCATCCAACCGGATTGAGCTTGAGTGACCCATTTTCCAAACTTGTTGGAGAACCTCCACTTCTTGTCCATCAGAGTCTTTGCGGCTTTGAACTGAGCTTCCTCGCCAACCATCACGTAAAACATGTAAAAAAGAATCAACTCGTTTTTGAAAGAATTGGCGCGGTCTTCTGGGTTAGTCAATTCCTTTGAGTCGACGAAATAGTAATTGGGTATTGAATTCTTCAAAGTTGGGAAGGGTGTTGTGAATGAAGAACAGATCCGTGTGGGTGAAGTTAAGTCGATGCCTAATACGGAAAGATCAATCCCTTTCATTAAGAGGGACTCTAAAGTGTCATCGTTGGTATCATTCAATAGTAACTCAACTTTGGATAAACTATATTCGCCTATGTCCATCACTAATGTCCCCTTCGCTTTGGCTTCTTCGACAGACTGTTGAAGGATCTGGCGTTGATACTGTGGTGTTTGTTTATCATCAATTTCCATCATATTCATTTCCAGTTTGGTTACTTTTTTTCTCTTTCATTCCTCCAGTAGGTTTGTTATTAGTTCTTTTTTAATAAAAAAAACTGTTTTCGAATTATTATTATTATTATTATTATTATTATTATTATTATTATTATTATTATTATTATTATTATTATTATTATTATTATTATTATTATTATTATTATTATTATTATTATTATTATTATTATTATTATTATTATTATTATTATTATTATTATTATTATTATTGTAATTATTTTAGTTGGTATTAATAATCTGCCAATTTTTTTTATCATGTCATTATAAAATCTTATTAGTAGTGTATTATAAATTAACTATATTACAATTATGCCATACACATTATTTTTTTTATTATACAAAATAATTTTAATAATATATACTATTATTACTAGTATATTGAAACAAGTCTGCAATTAAAAAAAAACTATATTATATAGTAAAATGAATGAATTATATTAGTAAAACAACAGTAAATAAAAGAATAGTATAAAATTACTAAACAACTTGAAAAACTTGAATAACGAGTTTTCTTGTTCCAAATTGATGGCGCAGTCAGTGAGTTGTATTGATTTATTAAAAGCGATAGAAGCGGAAGACTCATCAGATGAGTCCGGTTCCATCACCCCTGTAGAAATTGAAACCGTAAATACTGCGAAATACAAGACATACATGACACTCGTATCCTCACAAGTCCACCGTTCTGTATATGCTCTTCACGACATATCGAAGATGTTAACCCAACCGATCGAAGATTATTATAGAACGACTCACACGTTAGAGATGTCTTTAGACAAAGAGCTTAAAAAAGCTTTTGAAGAGATGCAGCCGTGGATTGATGGTAAAAAGTCACTCTCAATGGTCGAGCAAATGAAGTTTGTTTCCGACCGCTGGAATGTTCCTTTATCCACAGCGAAGTACACTGGCATTCCCGTCTTTTGGGGTCGTATAGTGAAAGCTTTACCCTTCTTCCAGCCGACTGCTGAAGAGATGAAAGTCCTTCCATTTTTGCATACAATTTTAGTCCAAAAAAGTCCGTTAGAAAAGACTGAAAAAGGTTATGCTTTAAATTGTCAACTTACTTTCCAATTCGACAAAAATGATATCATCGACGAAGGCGCCGTTATTAAATTAAACTATATTTATAGTAAATCTCTCCCAATAGGTCAAATCGTCGAGTACTCCGTCGCTCTCATTAAAAACACTGCCTGGCACACTAAAATAGCTCCAACACAAACCGGAAAGTATTTCAACTTCTTTAGCGCCTTCGAAACAACTGAAAAGGAAAAGCAGTTCGTCTTCTTTTACACACTTGCTAACTACGCTCTCCCAAATGCAATGCGCTGGTTCGACGACTCCGTCCTCCAAAAAAAGTCGATGAACAACCTCTACTGGGAAAAGTCAAAGGAATACGACTACAAGTCAAACAACGTCGTCGAGGACGCTGCCTCACTTCAGTGCATACAACAATGAATTTCTTTTTATTAAGCTTTGGTCAATCTTTTAACAAAGTTATTTTTATCGCGTTTTACTTCGTTTCCTCGGTTTTAATTAACGAGCTGTTCGGGTAATTACACTGATTTTCAGTTAAAAATGAAAAATGGTCGTTAATTAAAAATACATGTTAATTATTAATTGTGGTGAGTTGGTCGAAGTTAATTACTGTAGTATATTAACCATCAAATTATAGTTTAGTTGATATAAATAGAGAGATAGAAAAAGAACCAGAAAAGTAACTAATTGAACTTGAAAATTGTATGAAGGTGTTTAGTGGAGTTTTCCTCATCTTTATCGTGGCGAGCGAAGCTGTTTTGTGTCAGAACAGTCGGGAGTATAAAATAACACAAGCTGAAAGCAAAAGTGTTTTTCAGTTGATGTATGGAGAGAATAGACGAGAGGGAGAAGTTGGGTGTGGACTTGGGAAGAGACTAGCGAATTGGTTACACATTGAAAACAAGACAAAACAAATAGTAAAAGTATTATTGAGATACTATTCGATAGAAAGAAATAATAAGAAGGTGCCCCTTCACGTTTCCGTCAATGAGAAATGCCCGAGTGGGACACAAACACATTGCATTGGTAACTTCACACAAATTGAACCGAAAGTCGGGTTCATGGTATTGCCAGGACAGTCGGTGTATATCGCGTCGTTTGCTAATGATAAACGAGAGACTTTTGTCACGACGGAATGGATCCAAATCAAAACAAAACCAACGAAAAATACTATAGGGAAGTCGAAGATCACTTTATTGGACTTGGACACAATAGAAGTGATGTCCGCTAACACGGAAAACTACTTAAAACACTTGGACAAAGAAATCGATCAATTTGCTGCTATTCCTCAAGTGGAGAGGCTTCCAGAGAGTGCTTTACAACGCGCAGAAACAAGTCGAGTGAATGAACCAATTCAGTTGAATATCACACAACAGAAGAAAGTGCGGAAAATGAATCAACACGTCCATCTTTTGAATGAATCAACACCTCAAAAACAAAGCAACACTGACACTTCAAAGACAAAGAAAGTGACGCTTAAAACCGCTTCAGAATAGCAAGAAGAACAAAAAATTGA